CGCATGGAGCGGATTCTCCACCACACACTTCTGCATTCAGCCGAGGTAATGCCCCTTCAAGCATATGGATCTGAAACCAAACAGACTAGATATTTTTTGAATAATTCTGATGAAGAAAATATAGCAAGGAAGTGGTCGCAGATAAAAATCAAGCACAATCCAAACGGATACATGGATACGTTAGGCCTTGTACATGGTTCAAGCAATTTCATCGCCTCGCGATTCTCTCAACAGGACAACTGTTACGAGTCCATCGCATGCCGATTCTCCTGCATTTCTGTTGTGATATTCGGACACGCTAGTCGTAAGCCATCACAACCGGAATGCAAGGTTATCGACATGCAATGGGCTCGTAACAGTTGTCTTGCTGTGAGAAACACAAGGTGAAGAAATCGCTTGAACTATGCCCGAGGCCTAAAGCAGGAACCGAATCAAGAAGGTGAAAACATCGAATTACCTTATTCTCGCTTTCTGCAAGCGCTGCCTCATTCTCAGAATACTGCTTGTCAAAATCATCTCTGTTCTTCTCAAGCAAAGCGTCAGCATCTCTAGCCTCACTTTCCGCTTCGGCCAATTTGCCAATAGCTGCGTCTGTTCGACGTTGAGCAGCCAAAGAACGCGAAGCTGATTCTCTAGTAATGTTGTAGGCACCCTAAAAGGTTTCATAAATTCGGAGGACCTCAGCTGCTACCTAAATTCACTCATCCTATTTACCTGCACATCAGCTTCCTTGATCTTGTTTGTCTTCTCATGTAAATCAGATGCCGCTTCCGTGAGACGATCCGCATCCAACTGAAGCTGTTTCAGATCTTCTTGAGCAAAGTCGACAGACTGGGTAGCATTCGACACACGAGCCTCGATTCCATCCAATCTTTCGCGGGCATCAGCAACCTAACAAAAAAAAATCAGCAGATCAAAATTCGAGCAGAAAAACTTTACCCACCTCCTTCTTCAGCTTTGCTACTTCATTGTCCAACTCTTCTATGTGCTCTTTGCTAACATTTGCATCAGATAGTTTCTTTTTCGTGTCTTCCAATACTTTCTCCATATTTTCAAACTCTTCATCGTACGCAGAAGCCACACCAGTGTCTTCGATGTTGTTGGCAGTATTGATAAGATTTTCCACTTTCGATTTGAGGCCTTGGATGATATCGTCCCATTGATGGAAGCATTCACCGCAGGGTTGGCAGTATGGCCATGTTCCGGTATATCCACGAGC